ATCAGACCCTATATGTGCCTTTGGTATATTACTGTCTATGATAAATTTGCATTTCACAAAAGGAGAGAAAAGATGGACAAGTGAATGAAAGTGTTGAGACAACTGGATCCCCATTTGAAAAATAAAAATAAAATTGAATTTCTACCTCAAAACTTTCATCAAAATAGATTTCTGATAGATCAAACATTCAAAAACAAAATAATTAAAGCATAAAAGAAGCAAGAGGAGATGTGAGGAGTTTTTAGAAACAATCTCAGGGCAGGGAGAATTTTTCTCCATATGATACATAACCCAGTTACATAAAATTTGCACAATAATTAACCATTAAGCATGAGAGAAAAAAAAACTCATAACTTCAATGACGCACTAAGAAAATATTTGCAACTCATCATATTGCTTTCATATATAAAGAGTTCCTGTAATAAATAAGTTGTTGTCATTAGGCACCATCAAGTTGGTTCCAACTCATAGTGAATTTATGTACAACAGAATGAAACACTGCCTGGTTCTGCACCAACCTCACAAATGTTGCTACATTTAAACCCATTGCTGTTGCCACTGTGCCAGTCCATCTTGTTGGAGGGTCTTCCTCTTCTTTGCTGACCCTGCACTTTACCAAGCTTGATGTCCTTCTCCAGGGACTGGTCCCTCCTGAGAATATGTCCAAAGTATGAGGACGCAGTCTGGCCATCCTGGCTTCTAAGAAGCATTCTGGCTGTACTTCTTCTAACACAGATTTGTTTGTTCTTCTAGCAGTATATGGTACTTTTAATATTCTTCTCCAACACCATAATTCAAATGCATCAATTCTTCTATGATCTTCTTTATTCACTGTCCAGGTTTCATAGGTATACGAAATTACTGAAAACACCATGGTTTGGGTCAGGCATGCCTTGGTCCTCAAACTGACATCTTTCTTCTTGAACACTTTAAAGAGGTCTTGTGCAGTGGATTTGCCTAATGCAATACGTCATTTGATTTCTTGACTGCTGCTTCCTTGAGTGTTGATGGTTGATCTGAGCAAACTGAAGTCTTTGACAGCTTCAATCCTTTCTCCATTTATCTTTGTCGTTGTTGTTGTTAAGTGACATTGAGTCAGTACTGACTCATAGTGACTCTGTTTAGGGTTTCTGAGGACTTTTTGGTGGGTTTGAACCACCAACATTTTGGTGAGTAGTCTAGTGCTTATCCCATAGCATCACACTTGTCCATGGTATTTTTAATATTCTTCTCTAACACCATAATTCAACTGAATGAATTCTTCTACGACCTGTCTTAGTCACTGTTCAACTTTTGCATGCATATGAGGCAACTGAAAATAACATGGCTTGGGTCAGGCACACCTTAGTCCTCAAATTGATATCTTGTTCTTCAATACTTGAAAAAGGTCTTGTGCAGGAGGGTTGCTCAATGCAATATGTCATTTGATTTCAGATCCAAGCAACGTGAAGTTTTTGGCAACTTCAATCTTTTCTCCGTTTATCATGATGTTATTTATTGCTCCAGTGGTGAGAATTTTTGTTTTCATTACACTGAGGTGTAACCTATACTGAAAACTGTGGTCTTTGATCTTCATCAGTAAGTATTTTAAGTTTTTCACTTTCGGCAAACAAGATCGCATCATCTACATATTGCAAGTTCCTAATGATTCTTCCTCTAATCCTAATGCCACATTCTTCTTCATATAATAGTTTTCTCAGATTATTTGCTCAGCATAGAGATCAAACAAGTATGGTGAAAGAATACAACCCTGGAGCACACCTTACCTAACTTTAAACCAGTCAGTGTTCCCTTGTTCTGTTCTAACAACTGCCTCTTGGTCCATGTACAGGTTCCTTATGAGCACAATGAAGTGTTCTGGAATATCCATTCTCTGCAATGTGAGCCATAGTTTGTCATGATCTACAAAGACAGAAGTCTTTGAATAGTCAATAAAGTACAAGTAAATGTTGTTGTTGTTGTTGTCAGGTGCCATCGAGTCGGAACCGACTCATAGCGACCCCATGCACAGCAGAACGAAACAATGTCTGATCCTGGGCCAACCCACTTGAGTCCATCAATGATGCCACCTGATTGATCCATCTCGTTAGGGGTCTTCCTCTTTTTCTCTGACCCTCCACCTTACCCAGCATGACATCCTTCTCCAGCGACTGTTTCCTCCAGACAATATGTCCAAAGTATAAGAGATGAAGCTTAGCCATCTTGGCCTCCAAGGAGCACTCTGGCTGCGCTTCTTCCAAAACAG